CCGCCTACCCGCCCGCGGACAAAGCCTAGAGCCCGCGCCCAGAGCCATGTCCTCGTCCGCCGGCAGCGGCCACCAGCCCAGTCAGAGCCGCGCCATCCCTACCCGCACCGTGCCCATTAGCGACGCCGCGCAGCTACCTCATGACTATTGCACCACGCCCGGGGGGACGCTCTTCTCCACCACGCCGGGAGGTGAGACCGCGTCCCCTGCCGCTCCCCTGCGTGCCCGCGCCGCCCCCGGGACCCCGCTCGCGGCTTCGGGACCCTGCACTTTGCCTTCTGGCTGGCGCGCGACTCGAGTCTGCTCGCGCCTGCTCACCCGCCCACCCGGGAACGTGGCTCGAGCGTCTCCGAGAAAGCCCCGGTTCCCGCTTCGTGGCAGTTTGACGAATTCGACCCAGTTTCTCTCCCCTTCGCCTCCTTCCCAGGCGGATTCGGCCGCGCGTGGCACTCTGCGTTACTTTCCCCTCCTGCAGTTTGTGCTCGTTAATGCTTGACTTCGCGGGTGTCCCCCTGGCCTTCCTGGAAAGGAAGTCAGAGAGCGGGATTCAGTTATGGGAGCCTTCGGTGACATGTTTTGCTGTTTTTAAAAAGGTCAGGAGGAGGCTGGAATGCAGAGTCCCGAAGCCTCGCCCAGTGTTACCCTGCTTTGACAGCATTGTTTACCTTGTTGGACGAGGCCCCACGGGTGGGGGAGTCCCCAGGCCGCGAGGAAAGTGTGATACAATAATGCTCAAGTCCTAGCCAAGGGGAAGGAGGTGAGAATGGTGGAACGCTGGCAGCCTTAAGGGTAGAGTTTCTGAGTCTCCGCCTTTGGAGATGGATTGAAGGGGGGCTTTTTGTCAAGCAGGACACCCTGGTCGAGTGAGGTTGCCTGATCCTGGGGAATGGGCTTGTAGAAAGAGGCGATGCACAGGGAGGTTCCTGGCATTGCTTTTCAAAGGAGGACGAGGAACTGTTTACAAGCAACAGTGGGGTAGAGGTGGGGCTTGTTGAATTGGTCACGGGAGAAGGGAGCTCAAAGGTTGTCTGTCTCTTGCCAGGGCTGTTCTCCAAAGGCAAAAGACTGGAACCAGGCTTCCTTTTAAGTTTAGATCTTTGCCTTCTTTTAGTGACCAGGCAGTCATCCCCTTGTAGACAGAGGGTGGGGACTTCGCTGGCAGCCCCTCCGGTCTACAGGATCTCTGGCCTTCTTTTTGTGGGCAGGGATGGCAAGTTGTACTACAACCAATCCCTGAATCCGTTGCACAATGGCAAAGCTTGTAGAGTAAGGGAACTGCCTTGCCAACACCAAGGAATTTAAATCTAGGAGAGAGAGTTACTGTGGATAGATCTATGGATAGGAAGCGGAAGTTGACTCAAGGAAAGTAGTGTTGATTGACAAATAAACACACATGCACACAAAGTCTTCCTCATCCTCCCTCCCTTGGCTCAGTAATGCTGAGAGATTGAATGCTGTGCTTCCAGCAGTTCAGAACACGTGTTGCTATAACAACACAACCAGCTATGATTTTTATTTGGAGAAGAGACTAAACTTTTAGCTATATATTAATTTTCCCTGAGGGAAGAGCCACAGAGGGAACCCCTGCCATATTTCAAAAGTTAAACTGTTGTACTTTCAAAACAAGGGCTTTAAAGATAGAAGCCTGTCTCATAGTCTGGATTAGTTCCTAAAATGCTTGGGAAGATTTCTGCCAGAAATACTGATCCATTTACCCTCCCAACACACTATCACTACTGCTTGATCAAATATCACTTAACCTGCCTCCACACAGCTTATATGCATTCTTTTGTTTTACATTTAAATACTTGTCATTGGCTCATCTGTAAAGTTGAGTTTGTATTTACTGGTAGATCTGCATGCACGAAGTGATCTACACAAGTAGATCACTTCTACACAAGTGCTCGTTTAATACTTAACAGAATACAATATCACTGCAGTTGGGTTTAATCACTATTTTAACAGTTAACTTAGTGCTATTAGTTGTGGTTGTGTAGTACTTGATGTTTTTCTCCTTTGGAGATTTTCTGACCTCTGATGATTTGTTTCCTCTCTCTTGCTACACTCTTCTTCTCCCTCTTACCATGTAATTTTATTTCCCAGAACCAGAGTGAAGTTATTATTTGGTCACCTCTAGACTCTCAAACTAACGTGGATGCATGTCTTCCTTCAGTGAGTTTTGTGTGCTTAGTGCAGTGCTTTGCACAAAACAGAACAATACTCAAAAGTAGGAAATGCAATTGCTCTGAATGGACTTAAAATCCTGACTTGGAGAGATAGGAGGTGCAGATAAGATTTTTAGTCAAGTGCTGGTTTACATTTAGACAAATGAGAGTCAGTAGGCTTATATTAGAAATCTAGGCTAGGTATGGTGGCACATGCCTATAATCCCAGCCATTCAGGAGGCTGAGGCAGGAAGGTTGCAAGTTCAAGGCCAACCTCAGCAACTTAGTGAGGACCTAAGCAACTTAGTGAGACCCATTTTCAAAAAAGGACTGGGGATGTTGCTCACTGGTCAAGTAACAGTAGATTCAGACTCCAGTAGAAAGAAAATAATGGGGGGAGTACTTTTCTTGTCTCAAACTTCTGGAAACCTGGAATGGATAACAGTTGGTGAGCTGTATGCCTTAGATGATCATACTGGGCAGATGTGTTTACAACAATGCCAACTTTGTATTTCTCAGTCCCTTTGAGAGTCCTTTATTCATTGGATATCCTACTCTGGAAGTTTCTCAAAATTGCTTTCCTGTGGTTTGGGAAATGAGAGGTGGGTGAAAATACATTTGTCATAACATCTTGGATTTCTTGTATTGCTAAAAGAGTGCCTGAAAAAATATTCATTATTAAAAAGGGGAAATTTTTTTTTGTCTTGGATTCAAGTGGTAGAGCGCATGCAGCAGGCCCTAGATCCAAGTGCCAACACCACAAATAAGTGAATAGATTGTAGATAATATTCAGTTCTTGCATTGGGAGGATGCTTCTATCTTTGATGGAAGGTAAGAGTTGGCTTCACTTGGTGTATGTGTGTTGTTGAAGATTAAACACAGGGTGTTGAGCCTGCTAGGCAGTTGCTCTCCCACTGAGCTAACCCCAAGCCCTAGCTTCACATTTATAATATTGGTTAGCCAGAAGGAACTTAATGGCTTTGTTTTATATTTGAAAGAAACTGAAACCCAAAGAAACCCAAATTGGCTGTATCATACAGCCAATTAACCTAGGTGGGTAGTCTCAAATTTAGTACTATTCCAATTTTTTCTTCCACTATATGTGGCGCTGAGGGTCGAACCCAGTGCCTCACACATGCTAGGCAAGTGCTCTGCCACTGTCCCACAACCCCAGCCCCTCACAAACAATTTAAGAGACTATTCTGTCTCTGGAATACTAGCTAATGTGATTTTGCTACTTTATTATTCTTTTCCTAGGCATGGAACTGTGACTTGGGAGAGTTGTGCTCTGGGGAATGAACAGACACTCAACCTCTTTTAGCCTTTCTTTTTCATATATAACATCCTCATCAGCTATAGAAAATAATGCTGTAATGAACAAGAGGTCACTAACTGATGGTCTGAAATCTTGTTTGTGCTATAACTCTTCCTTTCTTGCCTTCTGGTTCCTTTCTTCTGCTCTTGGTTCACTGGGGAAAAATTACCTGAAGGCTATTGAAAGAATTGGTAAAGGAGAAGCAGGAAGAAGGGGAAAATAATTCACTTGGAGCGAGCTATATAAAAAATTTGTATTTTGGGAGAGACCTCCTTCTTAATCTGGTTTCTTTCTTGGGATGAATGAGTCATACTCTATAGAAATGGGGAAGGAGGACCAATTTCTGATGTTGTCACAGCATTTTTTATTGGGTGACTTCAGGCTGAGTATATTCTAGGCCAATACCTTCCGAGCCAACAGAGTGTTTATTTAACTCAATAACTTCAGTTCTTAACAAGAGGACTGCATTATTACCTGTGAGAAGTACATGGAAAACATAATGAAGAGTATTCATCTCACTTTGCCTTGTTGTTAAAGAAGATACCATTTACTTACTTCAGAATTATCACAGATTAATGTGTTGTCATTCTGTAGGAGATTCAGCTTTGGTCTCATATGTCAGCTGCCAAAGTATATATTGGAGATGTCCTTCAGCTTTTATGTTGGATGTGGTGGTGTTTTCTGGGGCGGGAGAACTAAATTGCAGTCCTTTTCCTCAGGGCAGTGTGCCATGTGGAAGAAGCACGTGTGCCTGACCGAAGTCAGATAATCTGAGTATGATGAGGGGAAACAGCTCCTATGGGTAGATAGATAATGCAGCATACATGGCAGACCTTCATGTACTTCCCTGCTGCTCCCCCAAAGACTCCTGCGCAAAATAGGAAGGAAAGTGATATATCTACACTGGCAACACCAAGGTTATTAAGGAGAGAGATTTTTGTTGTTGTTTTTAGTTGTAGATGGACACAATACCTTTATTTTATTTTTTGTGTGTGTGGTGCCAGGGATTGAACCCAGTGCCTCACACATGCTAGGCAAGCACTGTGGCACTGAGTCACAACCCTGCCCCAAGGAGAGAACTTTTTGAGAATTTGTCTTAAAAGTAGTTGCAGGGGTGGGTACTGGGGACCAAACCTAGGGGTGCTTTACCATTGAGTTGCATCTCCAGTCCTCTTTATTTATATATATATATTGTTTGTTTATATTTAAGATGGACACAATATCTTTTTTATTTTATTTGTTTATTTTTTATATGGTGCTGAGGATCAAACCCAGTACCTCACATGTGCAAGGCAAGGGCTCTACCACTAAGCTATAACCTCAGCCCATTACTTATTTATATTTTTAAGGTTGTTTTTTTTTTAAGCTTTATTGGCATATGATTTTTTAACTTTATTTATTTTTTTATGTGGTGCTGAGGATCAAACCCAGTGCCTCCAGCCTTATTTTTAAGTTTTGAGACAAGTTCTCACTAACTGGCTGAGGCTGGCCTTGAACTTGCAATCCTCCTGCCTCAGCCTCCAGAGTTGCTGGGATTACAGATGTGCACCATCTGGATGAGTTGTGGATGTCTATCCATTAAGAGAGGAAAGGATCCTTCACAGGGCAGTTTTTTGGTGAATAGCAGGACTTGTTCTTGGCTCCCAAGTTGTAAGGTGAGCAAATTAATGTTTAGAAGATTTTTGCTGTTCTATTTACAGTAGCTCTATTT